CTTTGTTTTTGTCCTCTTTTTTGGATGGAAGTTTGTCCCCTAAGGATTGAGAGGACCGCTTACGTGTGCGAGAAGTTTTACAGCCACGCGATCCGGTGCCTCAACGACGCCCAAGCAGCAGCAAGCGGTCGGAAGGTTCCGATGTCGGATTCAGGCGGAAGGTATGTTTGGGTCCATTTAAGGTTTTGGGGGTTCCACGTGGCGACCCCAAAACACAATCAAAAGCAGCCAAAAGAGGGCATGCTCCAAACAGCCCGACCAAAAGAGGTTCTGTTGAATTGAAAACGATACCCACATGTTGTTTTGTGGCTTTGAGGGTACCCTTTCAGACTGGCCCAAAGGGAAACCACCAAAAACAGCCATCCCACAAGCCATACCCGTGTGTCTTTTTTGATGGTACCCCATGTTTGTACGTAGTCTTTAAAGGGAAGCCAAAGGAACACCGAATCCATTTTGGAAAATCCATTTCCTGAAAGACGAGTGATGCTTAAAGGGATGGCTCAGGAATACGACGTGAATCTTGAAGCCTTGGCCTTCAGCGTGAATACCTGCGCTGCCGGGCCGGACGCCGTGGTGCCCTTGAGTGACCAGGCGGAGCAAGTGAGCGCTGAACCTCACTCACCACCCCTGGTGAGTGACCACCCATGGCTTGTCAAGATCGACTTTCGGATCCCAAAGTGCGAAAGAGGTGGTTTGCCGGTTGGCTTCCCCTCAACCCCCAAACAAGAAAAAGCAGCAGACATCCAACTAAGCTTCAATGCGTTCCTCTGAGAACCTGACTGATTCACCTGCTCTTTGGGGGAAACTGAACTAAAGGCAAAGAACAGTTTGAACTTCTACTTTTCGAGGAGTTGGCCCAGTCCGATAAATTGGCTTTGAGGTTCATTCAAACCTTGCGGAAAGGGTGTAGGGTCCCCCAGCCACTCCCCTCCGCTTTTGCGGGGGGTGAATGGATCTGAACTGGGAGTGGTACCTTTTCTCCGCCCTAAATGATTTTTCCGCGTTACGTCACCCTTTGCGCTTCTTTATCTGTTTTTCCCTTCAAGTGATGTCTTTAGGCCTAGCATATCGGGCTCCCGTCTTTGCTCTGGTGGATTCAAGCATCCCCTTGTGCCCATTTCAAGTGAGCTTCCTTTCGGTAGGGTGATGTTTGGGAAAAAGTAGATAGGCCAGGATCCACAGGATACATTTCCGACACTCACTAAGTGGTTGGTGGACATTCCCACACATGACGTCAGGGTCCTTTGAGACCCGGTCAAATTCCCATAGCCCCCCCCCCCACCCCGCCCAAGCGGGTTCAGTGACACTCCTCGGTCGGTAGGTAGCCACCTACACGGTGCGCACGCTGCGGCGAACTCTGCCGCCGGCGCTGGGGGCGCGGCTGCTGCTGCCGGGGAACGCGGTTGAGCCCCAGGAGGCCCTGCGCAACGCGAAGGCGGTCCGATTCGACGATTCGGCTCTCGCCTGTCACATGGAGATGGCGGCTTTCTTGGGATACCCCGTTTTGGAGCGGTTTTAAAGGAAACCAAAAGGAGACCTGTTTTGGGGGTCCCTTATTTTAGGACACGAGATGCACCAATTCAAAGCAGGACCTTCTCCACCGAAAGGAACCTCGTTGATCTCTATGTTTTTTTGGTTGTCGGGGGGGGGGGGTAAGATTCGAGTGAATAATATGAGAACCCCTGTTGGAAGTAGCCACCACTCGTCAATATTTGTTGGTCCCTCTTTACAAAACCATTTTAATCGGATACATGATCTATGCCTCTTTGTGGGACCCCTTCTCCTTGGAGGGGCATGACGGAGATGCTGAAAGTCAGAAAGAAATCGAGTTGTCCAGTGGATTCTTTGTTTGGTAGGTGTCCCTCTACAAATGCTCAAAGCCAGCAACCAAATATTGGTTCCAGGTTTGCATTTTGAGCTTTTGCTCTCAGGCGGTCCAGGATGTGGCGGACATGCCCATCTCGCCAGTGTGCTTTGGCTCGAAAACTTGCAGGTGCCAGGTGACCATGACACCTTAGACCTTTTGGACGAAGCCTTTCCATTGCGCGAAAGATGATCGACCTTTTGCGAAGGGAAGAGCAACCCAGGTGTTGTTGCGCTGTTTGGTGGTTTCACACGTGAGTTTCGCCGAATTGATGTTTTAAGGGGAAACATAAGGAATCCGGTGTGCTGGGCTCAGTTGAGCAATCAAAACCCGGGTAGACGAAGGTTTGTAAAAAAAAAAAACAAAAAACGCCCCAACCATAAGTTGGTGCGGATACCGCCCTTTTACTTCTTTACATGGTTCCGAGTAGACCTGGATAATGCAAAAGGTGTTGATTCCGACTCGTCTTGGCTGTTCCGGCAGGAGATTGTTTTTCATGTGCACTTCATGTTCAAGGAATACTTGATTGGAATCTGGGTGGCCAGGGTTCCATGTGCTGGGTCAATATTTTTACCGTCGTCTATTACAGGCGAGGGAACGACATTGTGTACACATACACAGAGCATTACCAACTGAAGTTCCATGTCAGTGGCAAGCACACACCAAACATAGCAAAGTCAGGGTTCCTGGGGCATGGCTTTAGACGTGCCAGAGAGCTGGTACGGGTAAGGGCAACATGACAGCAGCTAGACCCTAAGCTGCCCAAGCTGGGGTCCCCTAATCTATTTCATGTTGGGCAGACTTAGACAAGTGACACAGAATGAACATACTGTGGATGGACAAAGTCCATTTCGCATCACTTTGACATCATGGTTGACAATGTTGACACCATTGTTTGTTGGGACCCAGGGGACTCGAATCCTTCGGTTGGGTTTCTTGGGTGGCGCCAAAAAATCCTCCGGGTTAGAACTGAGGTACAGCCTGCCGCTGCTGCGGCCGGTGATCACAGCCTGGGCCTCCGGCAAGGAGTCCGAGGCGCTGGAAAACGGAACCCCGGGCCATGTAGTGAGGGCTTCTCACCCGGTTGCATAGGGCTTAAGAGAAAAGATAAAGCCTATGGTCATTGTGTCCAAGTAGACTGAATGTGGTTTGCATCCCTTGCTACAAGTTGAGCTTTTACTTCATCAATCTCTCGAAACTCGAAAATTCCACAAGGCGAAGGTGTTGGACATCATGGTGGGGATTGTCCACCAACCAATTGGAGGCTATTCCCTATTGCTCTCGGCCAAATGGGGACTGGGGACCAACTACCCCGATTCGGTCCATGTTTCGGTGTGTGTGTGTGTGTTTTGCGACGTCCATGATGAAGGTTTCGTCCGTTCGGATCCGATTCTTAGTTTCAGCGGGTGAATCTGCCCAGATTGATGGGAGAAATTGGGGTTTAGGGCCAGATTGTTGTGAGAAATTGGGGTGTAATGCAAATGTTTGTGACGGAATCCCCTTCAAGTCATGGGAAGAATGACAGACAAGGGTGTTTTCCACAACCAGATTCGGTCCCCTCAAGTGAGAATTCCCACAATGGGCGTCAACATACCCAAAAAGGTGTCCATTTCAAGATGAACACGGTACCCGCAAAACGGCACACATCCGTTTGTTGGTTTTGGGTTTAAACATCACCTTCTTGGCACATAGGTGAGCTTCCTTTGGTGTGATAAGGGCAAGTATAGTTTAGACATTGGCCCACCCCTGATGTCTATTTAATTGTCTCCTTTTTCAGGGTACCCCTTTTCGGTTGGTTTTTAAAGGGACACCAAAAGGAAACCAAACCAAATGTGGGGGGTCCAAGTCCTATTTGACAACGAAAACCACCCGTTTTGGGGGGACAGGCGCCATATGGCGCCATTTTCCCTTTTCCAAAGCCCTGTGTTTTGAGGCGCGAGCGCTCCAGCAGCGCTTGCTGCAGGCCTGCCGCGCCGCGCAGCTGTCGCCGGCGAAGTAGCGCTCGTGCCGGGAGTTCTCGGGCGAAGCGCGAGCGAGCGAGCGAGGCGATGGGCAGCCGGGGGCGTCGTTGGGGTCCCCCTGGTAACATGTTGCACAGGTGCCGCATGGGTCCTGTGGTTGTTTTCTTCCACAGGTTTCCATGATGGGAAAAGGTGTAATGGGAACTCTGGATCCAAGTAGGACCCCCGGCTGATTTTGATTGGTGTTTGTGTTTGTGTTCTTTCTTTTGGTGCATTACTTGAGGGGAACACCCCAACAGGACGGGTTTAGAAATTTGGGGTCGACATATATGTTTGACACAGCTCAACATGTTTATTTTGTTTTGTTGGCCAAGTTGGAGTTTGTTCTCAGGGTTCAATTGTAGAGGTCAACGCCCAGTGAAAGCTGGTCAGGCATTTTCCGCAATGGGCGGTCTTTGAATCATTGAACAGCTGCCTTCTGGTTTCCATTTCAAAGGCCCCAGACCCAGGTCGGCCCCTTCGCTCGCTCAGGTGTCCGGTCGACGGTGTAAAAAGGCGGAGAAAAGGCGGCGATGGGGTGGGTGAAAGTGGAAGGACTGCGAGGGGACAGGTGGTTGGGTGTTCCTAGTTCTAGAATGAGGAATCGTCACTTTCCAAATTTCTGGGCTTTATAATTTTGGAGAGGGTCATTTGAGTGGAAACAAAATAAATCACAACCTTTTCCGACCCATCCAGGTAGGAAGACGTCCAGGATATTGGTGAATGTCGAAGGGTTTTGTAGGTGGCCTTGCAGGTGGCCTTCCAAATGTCCGATTTATCAAATTGAGGGGGAGGTTCCCTCCAAGATCATCTATGTGTATGTTTGCTTCGGCATGGTGTGTTGTTCCTGTTGTTTTGGAACGGGGGCCAGTTCCTGCGATCTAGCCATTCGGCTTTCCTGAATTGTAGTTTGTCCACATCCATGGCCCCTTCTGCGTTGTTTTTTTGGGTGTTGTTTTGCGTTTTGCAATCTATGACAGAACTCGCTGGTTCTCAGGCAATGAACAGGGACGGTTCAGGGATCCTTCAGAGTAACCAAGGGATGGTTCAAGGGGGTCATTCCCTCATTTACTGCCTATCAAATCAGCAAGAACAGTGGGCACCAACCTGCTTTGGGCTTGGAGTCACCTCGCCAGGAGACCACGGAAGTCTTGCCCAAAGAAGGCGTGGTTGCACCCCGTTTGGTCGGTTTTGTTGAAGCAACCACCAACCCAGCCCAACCAAAAAAACAGTTTTGCTGCTCAGGTACTCGTGGCTGGACTGTTAGGATAGGCCTTGCGGTTCGCGAACCAGGCGGTCCTTGTTGACATTTGATGCATCAGTTGCTTGTGGTTTTCTAGTGGTTGGCGACAAAGGCTGGGTAAGATTCTCACAAGCCATCATGTGATTGATTCACCGTGTTGTGTCGAGGGTTCTTTGATTTGTTGGTTTACAGGCAAACCAACAGGACAACCCATTACTTCTTGGGTCGACGTGTTTTGACAAGCCATATCCAGTTTGGCTCAGCTACCGATCCACCCTGAGGCGGCTATGCAGCTTGGGATGCGCCGAAGGAGGATGACTGGGGAGCTGACGACTGGACTACAGGCGCAAAGGGAGGGCTCCGGGACATTCCAGGCCCAACATGTTCCCTTCGGTGAGTTGGGGACCACCGCAATTTTCAAAAAGAATCAACCCGGGTTCCAAGTCACTTCTACTGGGCAACTTATAAGATGTCTTTGCCCGGCCAGTCTTACTTGTTGGTGGCCACACCGTTGCCAGGTGCGGCAGATGCTGATGCAGAGATCGAGGAGGGCCCGGATTTCGGAGGGCTTCTGAAAGCAAAGACGGAGAATTGTTGCCCCGATTCTTCGGTGGCACGCTTATCCCGTTTAGTTTCTGAATTCCCAAAACGGGTCCCCAAGTTTTTTCGGCCGGAATCGATAGCTGAGAACTGGGTTCCCGCATGCAGTCATTTGTCGCTTTGCAGAAACGGCGGCATACTTTTGTCGGTTTCAGAGGTTCCTACGGTTCGCTTGGCCGCTTGAAACCTCGCGTTCCACCGATTTGAAATGTGCTTTCTTGCAGTGCTTTTTTGTTGGATCACTGCTGAGTTATCAAAGGGGTTGCCGGGATGTTGGTTTCTGGCTAATTTGTGCTGGTCTTGGGTGCGAGGTTCCTCTTTGGAATGGGACAGCACCTAGGAATCAACCTGGGCGGGTTACACCCCTATGAATCCACCGGCGGTTTATGAATGGGTGCTATAGTGTTTAAGGTGTTTTTCCAATTTTTTCCCGGAAAAGAAAAGAGTGGCCGTGATGAATTCTGGGCTCTTTCCTAGGGCCAACAGCAACCTCGGTGCTGGCCGCAAACTAACATGTTGCGTTTAGATTCTGGCAACGATATTAGTGTGTTTAACATTCAAACACACCCGCGCGCTTCCCGGTTTCTACCGTAGGAGTCGCTGGTTTTAGCTGGTAGTGAGTTGGTCGCGGCCCACAATTCTCCCATGTTTGCAAAAGGTGGTCGCCTGCGATGCTTCAGACATGTGGGAGGATGACATTTGTAGATTACCCTCAAACCCAGGGTGGTCGATTTCCCCAAAAGGGGAACCGAGTTTAAGTCTTTTTTGGGGTAACAGAGGAATGACCCTAGGCGTGTGTCAAGCCATACAGCGTTGCTGCAGGCCCAATCCAGGCTCGAGGTTTGTCGCCACTGTGACGCGGATGCCCCTGCCAATCACTGCCATAATATTGCAAACCAACCATGCTCAGCCACAAAATCATGGTAAACCATGGTATAAGTTTAAAAACAACAAGTCGCTTCAAGTCGCTTTCCTCATGTTCCCTTGCAATATGGCCAGCATCATCCATACCGTAGTCGTCATGCGGCTTCGCGCCAGGCGCTTTTGGCTGCCCGCTCTCAGCCGGCGCCAAAGGCTGGCAAACGTTCCGATTCGGGGGTGAACAAGCTCACTGCGTTGGTCGTGTTGCGGATGTTTTATTTCGGGTGTCGATCTTTCCGCGCAATTTGCGCCAGCACAAGCCCATTGCATGAGCTGTACCATGAAAACCCATGGATGGCGCCGGCAGGCAAGGGTGGAGAAGCGAGTTCCCCCCAGCGAGGAGGACGCGCCTGTGACTGTGGCAAAAAGACTGAAATGGCTGGGCGAAGTTGCAACAAGCTCGCTGATATGTCCCGGAAAGGGGGGAGATCATGGCACAGATGGCAGGCGTGGATTGGCCGCACGGTTGGGCAACAACCCAGCCCCCTTCGCAGGAACCTTTTGTAAGGAACCCTTACGGGTGGTGCATGAACAGACCCTGTCATAAAGGCATGTCCCAAGTCTGCCTGAGGATTCCTTTGAGTTTTGAACAAGCTTGGTGGGAGGGGTCCTTTGATTTAGACATTAGCAGGAGAAGTCAAGGACAGATCGTGCTGCCAGATTTTGTTGAACATCGTCTTCAAGGGAATCCAAATGGCCATCTGCAAATGCAAACCCGTGGATAAGCTTTCTGTTTTCCTGTAGCAATCTCAAGATTTCGCCCGGTTTTGTCAGCATATTTTTCGATTTTTCCGCAGGACCCGAAGGCTTGGCATGGCATCCCGGCGCCTTCGAGGCGCCGATTCGCATCTCGGGGAGGAGATGTAGACATTGTGGTGCAAAACGGCAGACCAACAGGACACCGGCCAATTTGTGGGGGTTTCCCCAAAATTTGCGAACCCATGTGCCATTTTAGAGTTCTTTTTTAATATGGGTTCCTCGCTGCCTGACTCCTGGACTTTGATTTTTTTAGGAAGGAACTCCATTCTAGTGGAAAGCAAGAAGTTTGGTCCTTTTCGGCCATTCAATCAGGAAGCGAGAGGGATGACCTCTTGCGGATTTGGTTGCCACAATCAAACGCAGGATGAAGGAAAGGACCCAAGTGAAAAGACTTGTACCGGGGTTAGGGATGGACCATGGACCCTATCAGGGGATAGAAAAGCAACTCGTGGGGTTCTGTGGCCACATGGAGTTGTTGCCACACATATGCTCCCCTTTTTGGTCGGCAGGGAATCCAAAAAAGAGGAACCAACCGTTTTGGTGGGCCTAATTTGGATAACCCGGGGTCTATATGAGGTCTTAAAATGTCCTGGTTTGTGTATGTTTAAATTTGAGAGGGGCACTGTGGGGCGAGCTGTAAAATTTCAATCACACAAAACACGGGACGCACTAAATGCCCCATGTCCTTTTGGGAAGCAAAAGAAGAAACGAGGAATATATTCCTACCGTGATACGCCTTTGGGTTGTTCAAAGCGAGACGCTCAAGAAGCCCAAACATTTTGAGAGTGCAGCCCTTTTCGAAGCAAATGTTTTGAACGTGACATGTGTAGTTGCGGGGGAAGAAACCAAAACAACGCGAGAGGGCGGGGGTGCGAAATGAACCAGTTCTTTGGGATGGCTTACATGTTTGGGACAAATCGGACAACTGTGGGTTGGCCCTTGCGGGATCTTGTGGGAATACGGTCGTTTCATGTTTTTTCAATCCCGAAATGCGACAGTAGTTTCCTTTACAAGGGCACCGGTTCAATTCCACGCAACCTCTTGAAGGATGGCTTGACAAACCAGCAAGATGAGAATACAACATGTTGACTTTGCGGGCGCCCCGGAGCCCAGGTCTCTATGGTGTACTGTCCCCCAAAACCACCTGGACCCATCAATATCCTGGGGGGGGTAGTGGCAACCCTTTCAGGTCTCGATGACCTTTCGATTCACGAGCTTTGGGTAGACTTGAAGTTGCCAAGTTTGTGTTGTGAAAGTTGAAATGGCTGTAGGTGGGAGGGCTAGACAAAACATGTTTGAGCAACCAATTTCGTGGACCCCGTTGCCGAAGCCGAAGGTGTCGGTGGCCCTGCCTGTGCCTGAACTTGCACTGGGAGCCGGAGGCTGGGGTGATCATGGGGTGATCAACTTTTGACTGAGGCAAAAGTTGTTGTACTTGGGGGGTTTCAAGACGAGAGTGACTGGAGGCTGCCTTGATTCTCAAAGGTGGACTTGTCCCAAAACCATTTTTTTTTAAACTTTTGTACTTAGATAGGAACAAGTTGGACCTTGAGGCTTTTCACCCTACAGGGTTCCCAAGTGTGTTCCACCAACATGGGCAGGGGCCCGAGGTCTGGAAAATACGATTGAACCCTCCTGAGGGATTCTACCTTTCTGGTTTGGTGCTTACCAAAAGCGGGTAACCAAGGTGTCGCTTTCCTCTATGCTTTACATGATGGTTGCCTCCAGTTAATTGCAGAGGCAACTAGAAGCACTGGGCGGGGGGTCCAACCTTTCTTTCAGCCAAGAAAACGTGGACAACAAAGGTTAAACAGAGCGTTTACCCTTCTAGGGGGCTTCCGCATTTCCAACCAACAGGTTACATGTCCAACAAAGGGTTGACGAGGGTTCTACGTTTCTAGGGGGTCCACTAGGCAGAGGACCCATGGGATTCGTCCACTGGAACTGGCCCCGAAAAGCTGCAAGTGCAGGCATTCGAGAAGTCCTTCGAGCACGAAGAGGAGCTGCTGAGGCAGGAGGATTGTGTCGAGTGGGCTCTTGGCTTCATGTTATGTCTTTAAAATGAAGAAATGGGTGAATGGGTGTGTCTTTTTCGAGGCTAGTTTGGGGGGTTCCCCGACTGTGAGACAAACATGGGCTCCAGAAATGGTTGAACGGTTGTTTTTTCGTTGGCGCATATCACGTGGGCGCGGGTCGTGAGGAGCAAAAAGAGTTGGGCTCCTTTTGGTCTCCCTTTGCAAGAATTCCAGGAGTGGAGTCCGGATTCCCCATCCAAACAGAAGCTATTTAATTCAAGCACCCGAGTCTATGGAAGTGTTGGACCAACCTCAGGCTCGAACCCTGTGGCTTGCCCAAGCCACTGCCAGCCAAGGTTACGTTTTGGTTTAGGCCAGGGGTCTTCTTTGCTGCGCGCCGTTTGGTCAAGTTGGGGATTTCTGCTTGAGTCAAGCTCTCGTTACAAGGCTAAGACGAGCTATAATGCTTTGCTTAATGCCACATAACCGCGACTTGTGCCTCAGGCAACCTGCATCAGGCACTGCGGTAGATGTGGATGTTTCGTGAATGTGAACTCCGCTGATGGCTGTGTTTGCTTGCTTCCAATTTGTGTGCGTAGCTTAGTCTCGCCTGGGTGGCATTTGCACTTGAACAAACAATGATCGCAAAAGCTGAGGAAGGCTAGACACGAGTTACGAGTTGGAGAATGAGCAGGGTTCCAAACTTTCCTTTGTCGAACGGGCACTCTTGTTTCTAAGCGATGGTTTGCAAATCGAGCACGTTGCAGGCGGATCGGTGTGCTCCTCTTGTAATCTTGAGGGAGTGCAAAGATTGCTCGAAGGGAGGTCATCAGGTTATATACGCAGGTTGTACCTAGTACCTTCCAGAAACACTTCCCGGTCTGACCCTGTTTAGGCCAATTTGAGGGAGTCCTTATATCAGGTACGCCATGGGCGGTTTGGCTTTGTGGTTTGGGAAATTGAACCCCAGTTCATTTGAAGCCAAGTGGGAAAGGTACCTTTTCCAAGGTCCAAAGCACCAAACCAAACCACCGCGCTCCAGGCGCTACATGCAGAACGAGCTGGGTACCGAGGTGAGCCAATGCTATACCTGGACGTTCTTGGCATTGTGGCACATCGGGTTTAGGGCGGCTGTCTGTGATACATTCCTTCATAACGATCCCCTCCAATGTGCTGAAGTCATGAGAATGACTCATACTGGTATCGCAGAATCTGGGTGATGTTCAACAGCTTCTCTTTGCTGCGGTCTTCAGCCTTTGACCCTCTGAACATATGGCGCGTTCCGTGCGGTGGGATGTCGTCCGCGGGTTCGCAGACGCTGGGCTCGTTGCGCTGTTTCTTCGGGGACGGGGCTCGAAATCCTGTTTGGGGTGGATTCCATATTTGCCGATGGTGCAGGTTCATTGAGAACTTTGCCTTGTGCAGGTCTGTGATTGAAATCGGAAGGAGGGTAAAAGCTTGCGCTATTACAAAGCAGACTTGTTTGGAAGAAGACTGTCCTCTTCTAGCCGGTGGTTGGAGGGAGCTGGGGGTATCCAAATTTGCCTCTGAAGAGCGAGCTAAGGAGCTACCAGGAGTTCTGTAAGCACATGGCAGTCTTGAAAAGGCCCATTGTCCACTTCCGCTAGAGAAAGGGGAGTGCCAATCGGGTTGGCCCCGAGTCTAATACTTTTTGCTCTGTGGACGCGACATGAACCTGAATTTCTCATGCCAGGGGACTCCATGTGCAAGTGTCTCTTTATGAGGGGACCCCCCAAATGGTTTCGGAACCCCTTTGAAAACCACCAACAAATAGGTAATGCAAAAAAACACAAAACACGCAATCACGATGTCCTCTTGGCTGCGTCCAGGATGCAGGTCCTTTGCCCAAAGAGCTGGAGGTGGAGGCTGGGTTGCCTCCGGAAACCCTTCGACAGCATTGGGGCACTCCCCAAAGTAACTCAGAACTCACAAAGTTTGGGGGCCTGGTAGGAGATCAAGAGTCCTTGGATCAAGCTCTCTTGGTTTCATATGGGTGTGGGTCAAAATTCAACCACCAGGGGACTGCCTGTTTTAGTCATGGGTTCCATTTACCAGGGTTCGATTTCGGGTACCCTTTTTTGGACCCACAGCCATATCACCTTGTGGGCCTGAGCTTTTTCTTCGAGATGTCGACATAATTCAGAACAGGAACCTTTTCGTAGCGCTAGAGAATTCTCCAGCCATGGCGGTGTTTGCTCGGTCCCATACAAATCTGCAAGATATGGCTCGCACTTCGTAGCCCTACAAAATGGGGGGGGGGGGAGGAGGGGGTACCATAATTTCAGGTAGAGGAGTGACCTCATTTTCAAGGGCACTGGATTGCGGGCGTAGACAACTGGACTGGGTTTGCAGGGTATTTGCTTTAGGCGGTTTTTTGTTTGGGGGGGACCTTGTCGCCCCCTACCCCCAGATAGATTCTCAGAACCCCTGCCAGGTTCCTTCCGATGGACGGGGCTAGAATCTACATCTGTGCAGGCTGCGAACCTTCGAGAGGAGGCGAAGCACGACGTGCCCTCGGAGGCGGAGGCGCGAGGCCAGCCGGCGCAGGTTTAGTGCGAAAGAGAAGCAACCTGAGGTTGTGTCAACGTTTGGCACCATCTGGGTGTGTCTTTTTTTGAGGGTCCCCCTTTATGTTGCTTTAAAGGAAACAAGGAGGAACACCGCCATTGGGTTAAACAATACACAGCCATCTTACATTTTTGTCCTTGACTCCCGTGGTGGTAGAAACGGTTTAAATCCTGGGTTTTGGGTTGAAGCAATTCGGCTTGGCGAGGCTGAGAAATGTGACCCTTTCCGAAGCATTGATCGTTTATTATTTTCCCTGACATCCAAAACCTTCAGTATCCTCCAGTAGCATGTTTCCTGTTCTTTTTCTGCTGGAGTGTTTCTGTTTTGCTGATGGCCACTATCGGGCTGGGTCCGTGATATAAAAGGGATTGCCCTAAAGGGACCCTTCCCGGACATGCTGATTTCTTCAGGTACATCGGAAGCAATGCTTGGATGGGGGTCGCACACGTTTTTTGAACCAGTTGGAATGGGGAGGGGGGGGGGTCTTCACTCAGATTTTGTTTTTTGCATCTTGACTTGTTGTGCCAGCCAAAGGGCGTTTAGACTCGAGATATCAATGCGCCTCAAGTTCAATTGAACCTTGCTTGGGGATGGAAGAACGCTCATTTGTGTTGAAGGTTGATGTTTCGGGGTCGGGGAACCAATTGCCTGGGCAACAAAAACGTGACCTTGCCGAACGGGGGCAGTTTGGCGACCATGGTGAATCAGGCATCCTTCGCCCCATCGAATGCTGGCATGCTGTCGTCTTTTGGCAGTTGTCCGCGTAATCTATTCTGGTCGACCCCGATCGGCTGCAGGAAGTTGACGGGCATCCAGTTTAGGTAGTCAGTCCCCCACCTGGTTCTGGTGTTATAGTGTATATATATATATATATATATATTATACATGCTGCCAAGTCGCGCTTCTTTGTTGGGATCCCTCTCCGTGTGTTTGTCGACTGCCCATTAATTGTTGGGCCTGCAAACCAAAACAAACAACGCAGGTCAAACAAACAAAGCTTGGTCTCAATCATTTCTTGCCATCTCGCCGGTTCATTTGACCAACCATTTCAGTAACCCGCTGGTTATTTCACGCAAAACTAATTAGTCTCATAAGGCACCAAGATAACATCTACAGGTTGTCCTGGTGTTTAAGGGGTATTTGCAACGGAATTTCCTGCTGGTTTCTTCGAGTTACTTCTTTATTGCCCGCTTGAGGCTGGCTTCGGCGACGAGGTGGGAAGCTCCGCAAACGTTTGCTCCCTCGAAGCTATAGTGGAATCCGAACCCCTTGGACTATCTAAGAATCGGTTTCCACCCCAAAACTCAAAGACATGGGATAGCCAGACCCACTAAGGTGGTCGCTGCTTGCAACATGTGGCAGGCTGGTTGTCAATGACGCTGCTGGTTCTCACGCTGGCATTGTCTTTGCGAGGCAGCTGGGGTTGCTTCAAATGGAAACCCATGGGGCAACCCAAAGAAAGCAAAGGGACGCCATCCGTGGGGTTGCGCAAAACATATGCAGACTGACCGCGAGGACAATGACGACGAGGATGCTGAGGAGGCCTGGACAAAATCGAGGGAAGCGATGGATGTCATTCAAAGAGCCCTTAATCTTGAATTGCAGGTGCATGAGTATGTTCCAAGGGTACTACCCTGAATGAGGCTTTTTGGAAGACCATGTTCCGCGAAACGGTTCTATGCTTGCCTGCTGGGTATGTTTCGCAGAGATGTGTTCTTCTTGCTGGACATAGCAAGTTCCATATGGACGACCTGGTACCCAAGCACACGGAGGGAACCTCATAGGACATTTGTTGCCGTCGTGCCATGTTGCCAATCAGCTTGCTAGGAGTTTCTGGAGCAAGCCTTCGACAGCTGCCGTGCTTTTCCTCCCCTCTTTCACAAGCCATGGCTCGCTCCCTGGTGCTGACGGCTGCCGTGCTGCTGTGCTCGGGCGCGCTCTTCAGCGCCTTTGTGCCCGCTGCCCGCGCTCCTGTGTCTGCCCCGGCCACCAACGCGGGCACTGCAGCAGCCCTCAGCGCAGCTGTCCTGGCGACGCCACAGGCGGCATTCGCCGAGGAAGGCTCCGTTTGGATCCCTGCGCTGTCCGCCATCGGGGCTGGCTTCGCGATCGGATTGGCACCTCAGTCCGTGTAGCCCATTTTCCCTTTTTGGTCCACTTTGGGAGGCCCCCAAAGCTGATCACCTTGTTATTTCCAGCTTATTTGGCAAGTCAGGCAGCCATCGGCTCCGGAGTCGGCCAGGGCATCGCCTCCGGACGCTGCATTGACGGCATCTCCCGGCAGCCGGAGGTCGCGGATGACCTCCGAGGAGTTCTGCTGCTGTCCTTGGCCTTCATGGAGTCCCTGACCATTTACGGATTGGTCGCCCAGCCAGTGAACACACTTTACATTTGTTATGTTGTGTTGTTTGTTTTGGGCGGGTACCCAATTTTTGTGGTTTTGGGGGTACCCTTAAAAAAAACACCTATGTTCTTGGTGGCTGCCCCGTTAGTGTAGCGATGACCTAAGTGCATACTTTTTGGGGTGAGGTGATCGCTCTGGTGCTCCTCTTCGCCAACCCGCTCATCAAGTGAGCTCCAGAATTCTAGGATTCCAGGCTATCAGTTTTCCTGGAGGGGTCTCGAGGCCCGCTTCAACAGAGAGCAGAGCGGAGGTAAAAGACTCTAAGAGTGCAATCGGCAGACGTTTGGTCGATGTGTTTGACTGTCGCTTGCTTTTGTTGAGTCCATCAAATGTTTGGTATCACCTTGTTGGGCCCCTGTAGGGTGAGTTTCCTTTGGTAAGGGTGATGTTTTAAGGAGGAAATCTGGGGAACCCTGCAGCATGCAAATGTCCAGATTCATGTTGATCCGGGCTGATCCAATCATTGGCCAGGGGCCTTGAACCTTCAGGTTCCAAGATTCCCCTTGGCCATTTTCCGAAACGAAGAAATCATGTTTAGAGGCCGTATGGGTATTAGAAGTTAGCATTCGTAAGATGTGCATTAGCAAGGGCTGGAAGTACCCCTGGATTGCTACAATGGGGCAACCATTCTTGCGCCGCAAGAACCGCCCAGGCGCTACGAGCGGGGCAGCGCGTGGGAATCGATTGGTGGAGGAGGCCTGCCAATTGAAGCCGCTGTCCTGGGGGGCCTAAGAGGGTATGTCCAACTGGGCAGGACCAAAATGTAGAGATGACCAAGGCCTCGAAAAAGTAGCTTTTTTGTTTGGACCAGCCATGGCATCCCTCCCAACCCTGGCGCCAACTGGGGCGGTGTTTAGCCCATAGCATTTCGCAGGACACCTGGGGATGGATCATTTTGAAAAACAGACTCCCTATGAAGGCACCCAGCTAGATAAGCCAGATCGTTCCCCAAACAATTGAAGGATGATGCCTTTAAAGCCGATACTTTTGCAGAGGGGGTTCAAAATACTCACCACCCCTTCTGGTTATTCCCGAGAAGGCGCCTCGAAATACCACGCTCAGGTTTGCAGATCGACCTGTGCTCTTTGAACATGAATCTCAATTAGGGACCCCTTGGTGACTGCTTCTAAGCTGGGACTGATGTCCTCCCACGTTCCAGGCGGTTCCTAGGAAAAGGCATAGCGTCTTTTTTCCCGCCACCGAAAATCCGGGGCTTTCAGGCGACGACATGCCAACGTTTATGACTGTGCACGTTTCGTGGGGCTGCCTTTCTTTGGACCGGCTCCACGCCCGTCCCAGAAATTATTCCATTGGGGCAATGCTTGATGCAGCGAATAGAGAGGGCTGCGCTTGACCTTTCGGCCATTTTGTTGAACATTCACCAGTTCCAACCTCTAATGTTAACCCCGGATCAATAGACCCTTGTTTGATTAGATGGGGGTGTCCCCTTTCAGTGGGAAATCTTCATTTCTTCACTTTTGCTGGTCACAAACGCCTATTAGTACGGTGGGGCCAATCAGCCAACCCAGTCCATTCGGCATTCTGAGCAAGCGGTTTGGCAATCTCGTCCGTGACGTTTCCCCCATTCTTATCAGTTGTTGCTCCTGGATTGTTGAAGTTCATCAAGACGTTTGGTTGATCGTTGATTCGATTTTAATCCTAGTTGTTTCGCCTGCAAGCAGGGGTGGTCTCCGACAAATTGGGGTGGCTTGGACGATTGAAATGGACCTCGCCGCGCCGTGCTTATAGCAAAGCCATTTTGTTGTGCCCATCATCGAGCCCCTGAAGAGGAGCTATGCGACTGGGCAGAAGGTGGCGCAATGTGCACAGGGATCCCTGAGGTTCCCATTGAGAAAAAAATGGGGGACCCTCTTCATGGTTGAGAGGGACAGCGAGAGCCAAAAGGAAACCATCCAGCTGGATGGGGTTCCTCATTTGGAGAAACGCCCAAATGAACGGTCAACATGACCGAGGCATCGGTTGTTTTATGCCCTTTCAGTTTCGCAGATTGGGAGAAGGGCATCGGTTTTTGATGGATGGTCCCTGTCAGTTTTTCATGGTATTGTCGGGCAGTATTCTCAAGCAACAAAGCAAGGTCTTCAGCATCCTGAAAACCGCGGCTGAGGTTTTCCTGCTGCCAGGGCACAAACACACTCGGCAATGAGGCGAGCGGGACAGATCTCTCGCGACATGGGATCGGATTGTCGCCACCCCTACCCGCAAACACGAGGGAGACCCGGCTGAAACCCAGGTGCTGACTGTAGGTGCTGCCCCTTTGCGCAGAGTTATGGAGCGCTTCAGATTTCAGGCGAGGGATGGGCTCCCCTTGCTTCATCATGGCCTGCAACGGCTCAGCAGATTTGATGATTGTTTCAGTCTGGTGTGTGTCAAAATAGGGGAACCTCCATGGGTTTCCTTTTGGTTTCCTTTCCATCCACACCAAAAACAGCACCCCTGAAAAAAACAACAACAACAAACACCCATTTAGAGTTTGAGATGTTCACTCTTTTGAGAGGCAGGCAAATAAGAGGAGACGACCAGCATGCCTTTCCTTATTAGTCTAGTTGGCCCATGCTGGCTCCTCGATTTCCGCAGTGGATCCCAGTTGCCACGAGTTGGAGGTCTCATCCCAGGTCGATCCCCAACAGTGTGCACGTAGATGAAATTAACTATACACATGGGGGTGTGCAAAGCTTCAGTGCCCCTTTTGGAGGGGTATTTCACGCGGAACTAAGCGAAACCGCCCGGTTTTGGGGATCCTGATTTTCGCACACAAAGAGAGAGAGAGAGAGAGAGAGAGAGAGCGCGAGAGATAATCCGCAAATAGAGCCAATTGTTCTAAGTTCCGCTGCCCTTGGCAAAGCCTGGCAGGAAAGTGGTTCATCCAAAAAAGCACTGAGATTCTGCTGAATTTCTAGCTGAATTCTAATTAATCATTAAAATGGGAACGGTATTCTCCATTTAAAATATATTTCAAATCAGGTTTCTATTTAGACTAATTAAACGAAACAATCAAGCGTGTCTTTCTTCCCTAGATTCGATTTCAACTCCAATTAGAATCATACTTGGAATGGAGCTCGTGTTTTCAATCAAATTCAATCTAATGATCATAATTAAACTAATTGGAAGGAACAACCAGCTTTTCTTTCCTTACTAGATTCTATTTAATTTCTAAGTAAACACTAATTAGCATCGTACTTTCACAGGATCTTCTACTTAAATTCTAACTCACAATGATAATTCCTAGTAAGCTACAATTCAACTCCTATTTTAACTTGAAGCCTGATTAACACTTGTAAATTAATAGAACTGACATTGCACTTTGATCGGATTTTGCGCTCCTTTTCAGGGGCAGACAAACTCGAAAACTTGCTACAGAGAGCTTGCGGGCGCGAGGACAGAAGCTTGCACAGAAAAAGAAGAAGAAAACAGGCGTCTATGAAACAGATAGAAGTAGCTGCCCATTCTTTGTTGTTTGGCTTCTGTTTTTTTAGTTTTCCCGCTGTTTCTTTGGCATTGTCTGGTTTATGCTGGATCCTGCGGGGGTACCACAAATAATATATATATATATGAATTATATGTATGCACGTGCTTGCTTCGCACCGCTAGTCTGCATCCCTTCGCTCGCCAGGAGCGTCTCAGCCCCACGAACTTCACCCGGGAAGATGTCAAGTCGGACCTAGCGACTTCGATGCCCACCTCCTGCGTGGGCCGCTGGCGTTGCATACGGACACCGCCAAAATATCCGGGGAATCTTCGTGTGGCGTTTCCAGCATACGGTTTCTTTTTGGGGGGGTCTTATGGTGAGGCTTTCAAGGAGGCCGAAAAGAAGCCTTCCAGTTGAGCAAGGTGAGTGGAAGGATAGCTGTCGCAAACACTTGGAGTTGGGTGTGAGTCAACCCAAATTGGTTTGTCCCCCAGGTTAGTCAAGGGATGCGCCATCTACTGTATCTTCCTGTTGGATGCAAGTGATCCTATACTGATTCAGAGTTATACCAAGGCCAGTGCTATTGGGGGACTATGAGGGGGCATTATGAACCATTCAGGGCCATACCCCTCCCATGGCTCCCCTTGTAATGGTTCTGAATGAGCATCGGAAAGCAGTTGGCTTATCCCCCTTACTTACCCACATGGGAGTTGGTCCATCTACTTTCACCCTGGCGTAATTAGCATGGCATGGGGCACTTTGAAATTTGAAACCAACGCCATCATCGCAGACAATCATGCGGGCAATTCTTTGGCCCTTAGAGGCACCGGGAGGGGTCAAGTTGTGTCCTCCTGAAATTGCGATTTGTGTCTATCCTCGGAGGGGAACCCAGGAGAATTTGGGTAAGCATCAAAAGTCGGTTGCCAGTTCGGCGACATCGCTCTCTTGCGATGTTGTAGGTTCGACAGCAGTTCCAACCCTGGCGTTGATTCAGGGGACTCCATAAAGCCCTGGAACCTGACACAAGGGCTGAAAGACATTTTTCCTGAGGGGAACTTTTGGGCTTTATTCGCGAGTGGGTTAGGACCTGAGGGGCTGAGGAACTGAGGAGCGGGGCTGAACCAGTTCAGACCAGGCTTTTCTTTTGTCCATTTTCCTCGAGAAAATTGTGGTGATTGAAGGTTCCACACTATGCGTCTTCCCTGCAAATGGCAAGCTTTTTGGGTAAGCGGAAGCTACCCAGTCATCCGAAGTTGGAGTTGGTTTCCGTGCTCTGAGTGTTCGGGCTTTGCAGAGGCTCCGTTGCAGGCAAATCAAGAATTGTTTTTAATCTATGCTTTACAGTGAGAGATGTTTGCCGAGATTTGGGCGCAGGATGAAATGCGTGGCAAAGGCTCTCCAACGCAAAAGTAGTTCCAGCGGGCGGGTGTGCTCCGATAACCACCTGTTCATGGGGTGACTTTGACAATGGTCAATTATGTTTTTGTTCACCAGGCCAGAAGCGAACCACTTTCAACTTGCTTTACTGTTTGTGTCGGTGTGTGTGTGTGTGTTCTGTTCAGGCGGACAGTCCAAGAAAGTCTGGTCAACAAATCAGCGGCTCTTTGTTTCCCAGGGAGCTTGTTCCCAACAACAATCTCCACGGCTTGGGCTTGCCGATAGACTCAGGATGGACAGACAATCTGATCCTGGCCACGGACAGCTACAAGTTCAGCGCTCCAGATGCAAGTTGCCGAAAAAGCCATCCGAGGCAGAGAGAAACCAGAAAACACCCACTGCACTGGAAGGGACGCCCCTGCCCGATTTGTGCAAAGATTGCAAGCGCATGTTCACCAGAGAGTTTGCTGGGACATGGTCTTCCGGAGTCCCTTGGTTCCATGGCCCCAAAGCAGGATGTCTCGATGGTGGGCGAAGAATGGCTGTGAGTGCCAATTGCCATGGTTGGTGTTTATACATTCTGAAGGGCGTTCCCTTTGCCTGGTGGAAGCACGACAAATCCTGAGTTGCCCAAAGCCGACACCTCAACCTTTTGGCTTGATGCATTTGGTCTGCTTTGTGAACCCCAAATATTTTGCCTGTAAGATGCTTTGGGCAAGTGAGATGCATATAACACATAACCCTCTTTGATGATTAGGCACCACAATCGCTCCACATGTGCCATGGCCAAGATGTGGGTTCGCGGTGAACGTTGGTAAACTTCAAACTTGCTGTGAGCTGATGTCTTAGAAAAGGTCCCCAGAAAAGGAAACTTCGTCTGACTGTCTGAGAA